CCATCAGCAAGATGCACCGCCATAATCCTGATCCATGGGGCCCCGTTCTAAGGCAGCAGACACCACACGAAACCCCAGAGTCCCCTGTCCACGCCCTCAGCTGCATGATGAGAACACAATCATTATAGGATTATTGTGCAGAGAGTAAGCTAATGTGCATGAAATCAGAATGAATTTATTTGCAAAGTAGGTTTTGACACATGAGGTGCTTTTGTGCAAAACAGTAAACATGTAGATTAAAGTGTTGCAGGAAAAATAAGGCATAAGTGCAGCAAATACAAGAGAATATGAAGCATTAACAGAAGTATTTCCAGTTTGCATTATGTGCAAACGAATCAGCTGAAAATATGAAAGGTTAAGTGAACTTGTCATCCAGCAGCGGTGGTGGAAACTCTACGACTTTAAGGAGACAGTTTCACACAGGGGGAATACGGTGAAGGGCATTGGAGAGCAAACAAACACAGACACATGGTTTGGCTGTACTGACAGTGCGGCTGCAGTAACACGCGACGCGCTGCGAGTCAGAAGATATTCAGACATGATTTCAAACGCTGATGGCAGCACAGATGGAAAATCATCAAACGCAAGGAGCAAAGGTAGATATGTGTTATTGGAACTGTCTTTATAATACTTGCATTTAATCTACTGCCCCCCCTTTTTTTTTTCCTGTTGAGCTCACGTCAAAGTGCCTGTTTGTTTTAGGATCTCCGTGCATGGTCCGAGTGGGGTCCAGAAGTCTTCCCATGTATCCGCTGGCTATTGGGTGTTTAGGACTGCTGAACACTATTCTGCTGTTAACTGCTGTTGTTATTGGGATTTACTGTGAGTACAGTAAGAGTGTTACAGCTCCATTTCACTTGCAGTTCATTAACTAAACCATTGCCACAGTTTGATTATTATATTAGCTCTTTTTATGCCTGTGGATGTGACTTAAATGGATAAAACAGCACATAAAAAAGAACTGTAGGTCGCTTTCTTGACATGATAGGCAAGAGTGTCTTATTGTTTTTTTTAATCACAGGTGGTAGTGTCAATGAGAAACCCTCTCTTCACCAAATAACACCAAATACGCTCATCGAGGAGGTGAAGCAGCTACAGATGATACAGAAGGATGTTATGGAGACTCGAGAAGCCACCCGGGAATTATTAGCGCAGGAGCTCCAGAGCCACAAGCAAAAGAAGCAGCAGTTAGAACCGATCAAGGCTCTTTGCGACAACCTCCAGAGGCAGATCGAGGTGCTGCGCGTGGAGAAGGCCACGCTGCAGGCAGACTCCTTCGATATTTGTGAGGCTGTTGCATTCATTTACAAAAAAAAAAGATGAAGCCCTTTTATCCCTGTTGTGACTTTAACTGTTTTTCTTGCTTTAACAGTGCACAGCTGTGGACGATGCCTTCCAGGATGGTTTTTATTGAGCACGTCCTGCTACTTTCACGCTAAGACGTTAAAGAACTGGGCCGACAGCCGGGCGGACTGCATCAGCCGCGGGGCCGACCTGGCTGTGATTGATAGCTTGGATGAGCAGGTGAGTCCAGAATTAAAGTCCGATTAAAAAAACACACTCATATAAATGGGTGGTTTCTCTTTGTCTTTCTGGGGGGAAAAACACAAATTTAGCTGCAAAATGGTAACAAAAGTTAGTTTAGCTGCTTCAGNATAATTATAATAAATTAATAAATTGCCAAAAAACCTTTGCACCAAGGTATTTCTATCTGATATCTATGACCAGTTCAATTGTAGATATCAGATAGATTGTAAATATTTTTTTGGCCCTAATTTTTTAATCCCTCAAACTACACTGAACAAAAATACAGATGCAGCATGCAAATGGTTCTTATCACCTGTCTTTAAGAAAAAAGTTTTAACTAATTCCTATTGTACTGGTTAAAAAAAGGGTTAAAATTGTGCAGCATGAGTTGTTAACTGATTACAAATTATTAATCACTGAGTTAATCCACACCTTACTCAGGTGTGGCTTTAAAGGTCAACGATCAGATAGTGTGACCAGCAGACAGACACTCCTTTAATCAGTGACTATCAAAGGCCTCCTTAAAACGCGGTTTAATCCAGACGACACATGCTGGATGCTGACATGTCAGTTAGAAACTCCACCATGTGTGGAGCAGCATTGTGCCCCCAGTAGTCTTCTATTTTGAAGGAAACACATGCAACACACACCAACCAGCCACAGCATTCAATGCAGGTGGACTGATTATCACTAATCAATGTTCTGCTGCATTGATTCAAATGCTACTTTCACATCCGCCCACACCAAGCATAACCGACCCATAGCAACGGGTCTCCCCAACACCTTCTGCAGCAGGATAACGAGCCTCACCACATCACAAGAACCGCTCAGGAACAACTCAAGCAGCGCGGCCAAGAGTTCAAGGTGCTGATCCGGCCTCCAGATCCCCAGAGCCCAATTCACACAAGAGCAGCATCAGCAACATCCATCCATCATCT